ATGTATGTATTCAACCAAAAGCTATATATATATATATATATATATATATATATATATATATATATTCACTAAATGATTCACTATCAATTTTAAGGTATGTTAATATTTGTACCCAATTATTGTCTCAACAACACGGGAATCTAAATAATCGTTGCAATTAAAATAAAATAATGAATATTTTAACAAATACATATTTATATTATTATATTTTTTGGTCTGCTGTGCCCCCAAAATTTATTAAATTGTCGACAGCTTGTCATCTTCTGAAAAAAAAAATTGATCAAACATTTTTAAACAATAATTCTAAATTTGTTTAATGTCCTCACTTGCCGACTTTTGATTTCATATAGCATTGAATTTCAAAAGCCTTTTTTATTTTATTTTGACAATTATAAATATGTCACCTAAATAAAGGATAAGCATTTAAATTATTAGAGTCCAAAAATATTTTAAGATTTCGAATTCTAAATATACCTAAATAAATTATCAGTTTTAAATTCTTAGTCCAAAAAACGCAAATTATTTTGGTTAATATATAGTCGCATTATACGGCTGACTTGATTTAGACATTTTACAATAGTAGTTAACAATGGACTTCTGTTTAATACTGTATGACCATGTTTATTTCATTTCAATCTTTTGTTGTGTTAGACCTACCAAAAAGTATATAATTAAGATATTTATCAATAATATTCACATTCATGAAATGAAATCAAAATGCATAACATATCAATTTCATTAATATGAAACTCAGTATTTCCAAAGGATATTAAATAATTATTGTCCCTAAACTAAATGCTACTAATTAAGATATACCTAATTAATTGAATTTTAGTTTAATAGTCATTGGTTAATTTTGGACATTTTATATCTTAGATCGAAATTATTAAATATTCACCATCATGTCGTAATATATATATATATATATTTGAGAAAAATGGGATAAGTATAGCTAAACCGATTATAAAATGTATCAGACCGAATTAAAATAATGTAAGGTGGACCATAAGATATGGAATGAAATCAGGAATAAATAAATAAATAAGTACTCTTTCTAATTAATTAACCACGAATAAATTTCCAGAAAATTATCTTTTATAGTATTTGGCGCGTGGACCCCACAATTGATAGGAGGAAATAATAAAATGCGTGCGGGTATAGCGTAAGAAAGTGTACTTTGCCTCTCTCAAGGCGAGACTGCAAAGCGAAGGAGCCGCATAATTGGATGACCTCGGATGACGTCATTTTTCGCGTCATCAGTGCCTTCCTTGCTACGCATCTCATTGGCCCACGTGGATTTCACCGCAACCTTTGGATGTCTAGTTATTATAAAATTTTTGGAGTCAGAAATCATTTATCGGAACGGAAGGAATCATTGTATAATAATTAAGATTTTGTTATAATAGTATAATTTTTATTATATTTTTGTCATAAAAAAATTGACACGTTAAAATAATTTTTTTTATAATCCGAAAGTTTACCAAGAGTTTGACCCAACTATAACTTCCAGAAAATCGGAGAAGTTCATGTAAATGTCCCTCTACACGTTTGGATTTGAACTCACAGTAATAACATATTTTATATGTTATCATATCACTAAATTATCTAAAATTGGATATACAAAAAGAAATTTTGAATCTGAAAACAATATCTAACTTACCGTCAACTCCAAAATGCATAATATATCTTCAACAAAAAAAATGCATAATATATCAATACCATGTGGTGATATATAATATATATTATGCACTAAATTACATGTAAATATACTCTTTTTTGTTCGCTTAGAAAATCTCGTTTGCACCGATAATTTTGAGACTCTTGGATCGCTAAATATCTTTTATTCTTAGTAAGCGTTGTTTTCATATGTACGTATCACATAGATATATATATATATATATATGTATATATGTATATATGTTATTGGTATATTATATGTGTATATGGGTTACATGTTGCAAACTGCTAGTGCGTGATGTCATTCAACCCTCGCTCCGTCATGGCTACCATCACCACTTCATGCGTGCGTGTATATACACGGATATATGTATATATGCATCCATACATTTATATATGTATTGGAATTCGTATAAGTTAATCGCGCTAATTTTAAAATAGGGTAGGAATCAAGTGGACCAGCTCTATAACTATAGTCCAAAATATAGCTCAATAAAATATAAACCTTAAATTATTTGTTTCATAGTCTGAGACAGATTGTTGTAGCTGCAAGAAGTTAAGATGCAATCGTTATCTAAAATCTATGTAATATTACGCCTTAGAAATATCGATTTGCTACTAAATATACACTAAAATATTTTTAAAAAATTTGACAAACAAAAAAAATATTTTTAAAAAGAAATATATATTTTTGGTTTCGAGCAATAAAATCATCTAAAGAACAGAAAAAAGAGTGATATATAAATAATGAATTGATAAGCAGATAAATTAAATAATTTAATGAGAACTGAAGGTACGGATAAATCGATTATATATATACACACACACACAACAATCCATCATTGGAATGTATTTTACTATCGATATCTATATATTCATTAGAAGATTCGGGTAGTGATATGTCACATCGAAATAAAAGATAACATTTTTAATCTATTTATTTAATATATATGATTATCTCTTATGAATTAGGAATTGAGTTTGCTAATTAAAAAGTCAAGTTGCCTAACTCTTTCCTTACACGATTTGTTGGCATATTTATAAATTACGCAATAAAATCATCTAAAGAACAGAAAAAAGAGTGATATATAAATAATGAATTGATAAGCAGATAAATTAAATAATTTAATGAGAACTGAAGGTACGGATAAATCGATTATATATATACACACACACACAACAATCCATCATTGGAATGTATTTTACTATCGATATCTATATATTCATTAGAAGATTCGGGTAGTGATATGTCACATCGAAATAAAAGATAACATTTTTAATCTATTTATTTAATATATATGATTATCTCTTATGAATTAGGAATTGAGTTTGCTAATTAAAAAGTCAAGTTGCCTAACTCTTTCCTTACACGATTTGTTGGCATATTTATAAATTACACACATTATGTATGTATGTATGTATGTATGTATGTATGTATGTATGTATGTATGTATGTATGTATGTATGTATGTATGTATGTATGTATGTATGTATGTATGTATGTATGTATGTATGTATGTATGTATGTATGTATGTATGTATGTATGTATGTATGTATGTATGTACGCCACAGTTTACTTGAGACGTTGCATGGTTGTAGGCAAGTGTCACATCACCTCACCTAATATGAGAGCTTAATGATATTTATGCGTTATTGGTAATCATTTTTCTTTTTCCTATGTTATATTAATTTTTCCTCTTCACTTCAATTAAATTTATGTAATCATTATGAACATGAGTTTAATGTATTTAATAGTGGATCCATAATCCTTAAAAAAAATCTTCTAACGAAATTGATTGTACAAATTACCTGTAGAAACAAAATGAAGTTATTTTTCAATTTTATGAGATCATAAAGATAGTAATCTCATGCGACTAAAGTTATATAATATATAGAATAGGCATTTAATGAAATTAATTTATGCAATCATTGTGAATAATCGAGTTTGATGTTGTCGTTTGATTGCGGATTTATAAATGTTTTCAATGATTTTTTTTTACGAATCTGATTGAATAATTTTTTTTTATTTTGAAATAAAATAAACATATATATTTTTTTAACATTGGCAGGCATATATATTTGTTTATATGTCCTAATTTTTGTGGACAAACACTGTGTTGCTTTATTCTATACGTTAATTTCAAACGATTCTCTAATAATTCACGGATAAAAAAGAAGAATAAAAGAATCAAATTTCACCAAAAAGGCGGAAAATATAGAAAAAATTCCTTTTCGAGGAATATTGTGACAAAAAACATTTTAATTGATAATAATTTATATCGTATCTTAATGTTATGGCCACTTCACTTAACCAATGAGATCCCCAAAATGGGTCTAAACCGGTTCACAATTTGATCAAACCGGGTCTATCACACGCATCTAGCAAAGGTAGGTTTGATTCATTCGCCTTCCTTACTTGTTTAGTATGGGCTTATTTGGGCCTATTTGGGCCATTAAAGGCCCATTGACGATATTCGAAGTTCCGCGGTGAATTTAAAGTTTCCAACTCTTCTTAAATTAATTGCAAAAGCAAAATAAATACAATTTTTTTTATATAATCTGGAAATCAAAATAATATCCACGTGGATTTATGACACACCACTAAAAATAATATGTGGACCAAATTATTCCGTTTGTAATAATCTTCGGTACTTCATTATACAATAATGGTCTCGATTTTGTTCCTTGTCTTACTGATTTTTCATGGGCATATAAAATATATGTACCCACAACATTTGTGACTATATTATGTACATTTTTAATAAAATATCGTGGGCATATACCGATTCAGGTATTTGGGATATCGTTATTCCAACATGAAACCCATTAATTTTCAATATAGATGCTCAGATAAAATATGATATATATATATATATATATATATATATATTAAAACTATATTTTATTTAGTTAACGATTTTCCATTAAAATAATGACTTCAGAATCGAACTGCGGAAAAAATAGACTTTTCGACATATGACAACAAAACTATTTCTTTTATTCCGCGTTCCTCCACAATATTTTGATCCTTTTTACATATTGACCCCTAAAGTTTTCAAATCATTTAATGTGTCCCTAATTCTTTTTATTGTACTATCTTTCCCCTTTCGATTCGGTTTTTTAACCTTGCGAGTGCGGGAAACAGAGGTTCTCTGAGATCACCCTTGGAATTTAAGGTGAGGACTCAACAACAAGTGCTGGTTCAGAAAACTATGATCAAATTCGTCCATTGTATTGTTGTAACTGCGAGTGTTCATCGTTTTCTTCGAAGTGCTCATCGTTTCTTCGACAAAATCCGACCTTTGTCGCTTGTTGTCACCCGAGAACTTCTCGGGAGGAGGAGAGGTCAATCGAGGTAACTTCTGATCCAAGTAATCGTCTCCGTAATCGAAATCCGATGAGCCAAACATCAAAGGGAACTCAAACTCGGCGTGATTTTCCGGGTTCTCCTCGAGAAAATTGGCGAGGAACGAAAAATCTCCGGTGTTGTCCAACAAGTTGGAGAAAGAACAAGATCTCTGGGGCTTGAGGGTATGTTCATTGGCCATATGTGGAAAGGTTAATTTCGGCGAAAATGTCTCTCGGGTTATGAACGCTTCTCTTTCCTCAACTTGTTCTTGATCGATTGTCACTGGTGAGGATGAAGATGAAGCTTGGGATTTCTTGTAGATCCGACAAAGGACCCAATCGTCCAGCTGAAGCGCAAAGAACAGAGAGTTAAAAAAAGTATTGGGGTCAAATCGTAAAAAGAGAAGTAAGTACGATTGGTTAAACACAAAATTCACCGGTTTATATGTACCGGTTCGGTTATTGGCATATAAAGAACCCGAAATTTTATATTTGATGATAGATCTTAAACATATTAATTTCGAAAACCATCAATTCAAAACTCACCCTCATGGAAACGTCATGAGATTTTTTCACATTTGGATCACCGCCGATATTGCTACCGCTGGTTTTGGGAGAGAGATTTTCGGAGAGGCGGTATTCGTGCATGATCCAATTGGTCTTGACACCCTTTGGAGGCTTTCCTCTGTAAAAGACAAGCGCCTTCTTCACTCCCACCTTCTCTGGAAACCCTAGATCGTTAGCCGCCTCGATCGTTTTATCGGTCCCGGTGGCTTTCCAGTACCCGGAAGCCGCCGCCCTGTTCGGGCGAGCTCCGTTCGGGTATTTCCTGTCCCTCGGACTGAAGAAGTACCACTCTTTTTCTCCGAAGGGAGCCTTGGCTGCAGATGCAACAATTGACAAGAAAGACACCATCAAGAAGAAATAAGCCCTAGCTAGCTTTCCTAAATAAAAGTGAAGCTGTATGTATATGTGTGTGTATATGTATGATGAAGAAGAAGAAGAAGAGCTGTACCAGGCAAATCCCAGGGATCAGATTTGTAGATATCGACGTCGGCGATGATGGGAACGAGAATTGGAGAAGACAAGACCTTCTTCCTCAGGTAGTGGAGAATGAGTTCTTCGTCTGTCGGATGAAACCGGAATCCCGGAGGTAAGTTCGATCTTGGATCTTTCCTTATCATTTTCTTTTTTTGGTCGAAGAAACAATAATGGATAAGAAGAGAAATAGTCTTTGATATGTCAAACAACGAGACGAAAGGAGTTATCAAAGGATTGGAATTTTTCGGGAGAGAAGGCCTGGTGGCCAATTTATGGTTCGCGAGTTTTTGTCGTTTAGTGTGGACAAAAATAAATTAAATGGGTTCATAACAGATGAGAATTATTATTATTTTTTTAAAAAAAAAAGAGGAAATCGGTTCATCATTGAATTTTATCGCGAGAGACTAACATATGTCGTCAGCGGACTTGGGCATGTTCTATGAACAGTGTTTGTGTTGTGTGTGTGTATATATATATACCATGGCGCATGATTCATGTGTATACATATGTACTGTAAATACATATAGGGATACATACCGGAATATCAAGTATAGGTTTAATTTTAAATTAATATATTTTTCATAACGAAGCTATCGGTAAAAGGATTCAGATTGTGTGGGGATCGTACGGGATATCCCAAAGTATGAACACAAGTTTTTTTTTCTTTTTATTAATGAAGGTTAGTTTAGTTGGAAAAGTGGGCCCCAGAAAAGACAGCTGGATTCTCGGAGATTACATTTGATTGGTTAGTTTCAGTTTTTGTCTCTGCCATCTCCACGTCAGCCCATCTTCGGCGGCTCATCATACCCAAAGCATCACCACCCCAATTATATATTTTATTTTCAACACAAATATAGTCTTAAACCTATTACCGTATTACGTTTATAAACGATCGCAAGAATCCAAATGAATAAACCACATATTTATTCAACTCCAATTTAATTTTAATATACTAATTATATATATATATGATAGATTTTTATCTATTCTACGCTTTATATTAATTATCTTTCACAGTAGTTAAAATTACAATAATTTTACTATCTTTTTTTTGTCAAAAATAATTTTGCTATCTTATTCGTTATAATAAATAAGCAACTACTTGAATCATGGATCGTTACGTAAATGCGTGCATCTCTTACGCTTAATCAATTATAATTTCCAATAATCTAAATAGAGATACTAATTATCTTACGTACAGTATGATAATTGGGTTGCATGGACAAACATGGAAATGAAATTCTATAGATAAGGACGACGTTCTTATAAAAATCATGTAAACACGATTTTTGGGCAACTCGTCTACGTACCTCCATTGCATTTCATATTCCATAAAAAGCAAACATATATAATTTACACTTAAATATCATACATGATTTTTTAATGCCTTAAAATTTTTGTCATTTATACTGTATTTGTGGTTTCCATTTTTACGAGTTCCTTTACGGTTTTTAGATTTTAATTTTTACAAATATATAGGAGTATATATATATATATATAACCACTATGTTTAAATATTTTATTACTCTGCAGCTGCCGTGAGAATATTGACGTCTTTAAGATGTTGACTTCGACGTATATTCTTCGAGTAAAAATAAATGAAATTAATTTGTGATTGGGTTAAAACAGATAAGACTTAATAAGATGATCTGTAATCGTGGCTAATTAAGTGTTAAATATTATAATGTTACCAGAATTGTTTAATTTTTAATTGCGTGTTTCGTCTTATGAAACAACCGATTAATTAGTCTTAATTTAATTTCTTTTTCTTCGAAGAGAGCAAACGTGGAATACTTAAAAGTTAAAACCCCCACACACCACACGTATATTATATTATTATTTTTTGTACGAACGTATGAAATTATTTAAATCAGAAATAATATAAAGTTTATAATTTCTAAAAGGATAATGACATGCCACGGAGGCATTCACACACGCAATCCACACGCTTCCTGATATACCGAAAATACCCCTTCTGTTGATGATTTCTTCTTTATTTCCATGACTTGTTATTGGCTGTTGTTAGTATCCTTGTTTTATTATAATACTTTAAATACTTTGAAATGCAATACCAAAAAACATGAAAGCTGTAACATCCTAATTCGTGAATGTGTCATTATTGGAAGAAGAAAACAAAAAAGTTGATGATATAACACGCGGGTTACATTCGATTTCATATATTTATGAATTAAAATATTTCATATATATGATTAATTTTAATTACGTTAAAAATTATTGTCTATAGTTGTTGAATTCTATTATGTATGAACTATCTTTGAGTGTTTTTGGTTTGACTAATTTCACTTTATCTAATAGAAAATATATGTGTTTATCATTTTGTGAGCATTGATTATTCTGATTAAGAAAACTACAAAACATATACATATATGCGTAACAAATATGATTATATATTTATATGCACATGCACGCGTAACAAATAAATAATTACTTGTACACATGTTACGAGACAAATCTTTTCAAAATCTAAAATCCGAAGAAAAATATGACTAAATTTGTGGTTTGCTTTGGATAATATAATATGTTTTTCTGTTCACGTATTATTGGATTAATTAAACTTAATTAAGTAAAATAGCCAAAAAAAGTCTTCGTATCTCAAAACTGTAAAGACAATTTTATAAATAATTGATTAAAACATTGACATATAAGTTAACGGGGAAATTTGTACAAGTCAACGTGCACAGTCACACGTGTGACTTTTGATTGGTAAGAATTATAAAAATAATAGTAATTCGGATCATGAGTTATAATAATAGACTATATAGTTAAACATAGAACGGGGTGAGTGATACAATCAAATCTCCAAAATTAATCATATCTTGTATATTTATTTAGATATGTAGAAAAAGTCAAGGAAAAATAACTTGTTACATTCGTTAATTGATTTGAACAGTAATGTCAACTAATTGCCTCGCATTTTTAATAGTTTATATTGTTTTATTAAATTAAAATATAATTAATGGCACGAAGGATGAAAGCAACATTTTTTTTTCTCCGGTTCACGGTTGTCACAGTAAAATAACGTGGAAAATGGAACATATATATATATAATTGAAATAAATTGTCAACCTAACAATCGTATAATATGCATATTATATTTGAAAATCTTGAATTCGAGCTGAAATGAAAGGAGCAATTACGATGGATCTACGTGTTAAGAAATTGGAAGACATGATATTGATGCAAATGTTAAAATAAAGGTGTTTTAAATATTATATTGGTAATGCATGTTGAAACAACACTAGAATTTCTGGATTACTTTTATAACATTTAAAAAAATTATGGTTGCTTACCACTTTTTAATCCACAAAATCCCATTTTTTTAATATTTTCATCTTATATATCAATATCTAATAAAATTCAATAAAGTGAACTTGATCATATTACATTCTTTTATAAATTATTTTAAAATTTTATATACAAAAAATCCCTAAAAAATACCCCTTACTTTGTCTAACGGAAAAAAGGCGTAACGTCCCATGTTACGAAATTATTTGAATATATATATATATATATATGTATGTATGTATGTGTGTGTGAAATCTACATAATTTCATAAGAATAAATATTTTTTTGGGGAATGCTGAAAAAAAAAAGATGGACCTTATTATGGAAGATGTAAAAATGGCAACTATAAAAAAAGGAAAAAGGAAGAAAAGAAAAAAAGAGGATGATAAAGACAAACTATGTAAAGGAGAACATACACCAAAAGAATATGGGTTGGGTTCCTCCATATTCCCAAGTTTGATATTATCCACAACAATATCTATAATTATTTCTCAATTTTTTTTTAAAAATATCAGTGACATAAGAATTTGAATTATGCCTGTCCAAATGAAATCAAGATTGTAGTATAATCAAAATAGTTATATGTATATATATATATACACACACTATCTTGATAGATATAAACCATTGTAATTCTTATAATAATTTTATCATTATTGTTTAAAACTTAATCTTCCAATTGGCCATTTGTTTCAAAGGGATGTTTAGTGCTGAATTAATGTAAATAAAGAAAAAAGATATCAAACTTATTTCAGATACAAACATTTAGCACACACACACACATATATATATATATATAAATTTAAATACGTGTATGCATTATTGTTATATTTACATGTATATCACTATATTTATCATTTGGAGTTTTATTATATTTTTGTAGCCCTTTTCTTAGTTCCTTCCCTTTTTTTTGGTTCAAGGCATGAGAGAGAGTGCTATTTAGTTGTGGTCTCTTTACGTAATTTAGGAATGGTACTTTGAATTTTTCACTTTTCTCCTCTTTATTTCCCCAACTGGTACACGCATTCTATATGTTTTTGGATATTTTCTAATCTAGAAATCAATTTTAGTGCACTTTTAAATCATATATATATATATATATATGTAATATTCGTTTGATAAACTACAATTAAATCTATGTTTAGATGATAATTTGGTCAGATTGCAATAATCTGATTGGACAAACCATGGTATGTAAAAGTAATTCTTTTATATATTTACACAAAGATACAAACATCTACATACACATAAACATAGAGCCGGGATATACATGGCTGTATCTGTATATCCATATGCCAAAACTGCAATACGTACTTTACTACTTTGTAATAATTTCGAGTTGGTTACCATATCTATTTTATTGATAGGACCGTTTTATAATTAGATAATATATGTGTATATATATTATTAAATTAAGTGTGGTCCTTAGTGTAGTAGGAAACTAACGAAGGTTTACTTGTTCAGCTAAAATTCCAACGCTCGTCGCTTTTGCAGTCACTCACCAATTGGCATCTTATGCTTTTTTACTTGCAATGATTTTTTGAAGAACAAAAAATAGAGAATCTATAAAATTTTCCAAGATTTTCTATGATAAAGTATTTGAGCGCGAGTGCATGAAATGAAAGTCTTGACAATACATCTGAAATCTATATTTTGATAATTTTTTTTTTGTTAACGTTTGGTAACCCGTCCTACAATATTTTAGACCGGATCCCGCACTGCCTTACAATCTCCTAGATCGGACTTAAATGGCATTGCGGATAGTAAACCCTCATGTCCATGCTTACCAACCGATAAGCTACGCCGAGAAGGTAAACTAGCTAAAAAACTGGCTGGTTAGGAAAAAGTTTAACATCAGAAAAAATCGAACCCACAATCTTGAATAGAAAGAACTTGTTCACTATTTCAATATTATCTTCAATCTAAGGTCCCATAGGAAGAAAACGGTCCGTTCACATACTTTTTTAATAAAACTGAAGCATTGAGAATTCTATTAAAAAAAAAATAGCTTTTTATCGAAAAAATCAGTCCCTAAAAAAATTAGATTTCATATTATACAGACTCAGAGATCTGTACTCTATTCCGGAAATATTTTTTTTATAAAGTTTTTTAGATAACAATATGATCAGGTTGTAGGATACCATCACTATGTTGATATAAAAAAATATTCAAAATTATGGGACTGAACCCAAACGCGACGTGACGTGGAGAGGATGGGCGTGTGAGTTGTCACAAATCAGATGACTCTCCTTTCTTTGACCGGTCAAACTCCACCTCGTAATTAAACTTCCCATTGATTTTGTTTACATAATAACAAAAAAACCTCTTGGCGTATCATTCCAAGTATTACAAGATTCTGACAAATGGCACATTGGAAATAGACTTTGGTAGTGACAGAATATGGATGCATGCATGACAATGGTTTATCAACATAAAACCATCATCCATGACATGGATTTATTCGATCTTTTCACGTTCCGAGCTCGTATGAAGGGGAAAAAATAAACAAAACGGGAATCACAACCATGAAAGAGAGACAATATAAGCAACTCTTATCTAATGATATTATTATACGGGAAAAAAAATCATAATAATATTACCTGCGTTACGGATGATTGTAATAATTTGAGCCGAAGTGACGAGAGAGAAAAAAATAGTGGGTGGAGTTTCCAAAATTGGGTGGGGAGAACCTTTCTTCCATTCAGGGTGAAGAAACGGCCTCGATGGCACTTCCGAGCGGCCAAGCAGCCTCCACGGCGAAATCTCCATATTTCACTTTCTTCACCAACGTTATTGTCTGTGATGACTCCATGCCTGTTTTCTCAACCAGAACCCGGAATCAAAATAAGATTTCTTCGTAACAAAACCGTCGGATATCCGATGACTAGAAAAGGGTGGGAGGTTTACCCAATCCGTCCACGAGAAGAGTGTATTGGTAAACAAGATCCATGCACAAGTAGGGGAGGTTATCTTCCTCGACATGCGGGAACTTGGATTTTCCGTCTTCCATCTTCGTGTTACAAGCACGTCTGGCCGCTTTCTCGAAATCCAGTGGACGTACTTTAGCCACCGGCTGGTTCTTGTCGACGAATCCGGCCTGCATTTGTCAAAAGTTTTCGACCTTCTGAGTTTCTGAAAGGCTAAGACGTGGATTGAGTTGTGATAACAGAGTATGATTACCTCGGCAGCACGGTCGAAGAAAAATGAAGCGACGAATAGATTCCTTTGGCCATCACCTCCACCGCCGTTCCATACGCCGCCGAATGTGCATCTCATGTGTGTGCACAATGAATCGTTCACTTTCAGTGCATTAAGGGTTACCCTCCGGCATTCATCAAGACTTGCGCCAGATGGAGAAGCTGTGGCCTTGTAATTTTCTCCTCCGTATTTGTAAGTACCTGACAACAAATCCCTTCTGTTAAATAAGATGAAAACCTTGTAGAGGGGACTACTTTCCATCCGACAAATCACGGAAAGTATTTGACAAGGTCAAGTGTTGTCAGTTTCTAATTTAACTTGCAATGGATCACGGCCTGGTTAGATAAAGAATGTTGGATTTAATGAGCTAACAACATGACAAGGAAACTGAAGAACGAGGACAAGATGCAAAGACCTCCGGAAACAAGGATAGAACAATAGTCTCACATACCATCATAGCCTGCCAAGATGCATGGGTTGTTAGAATCTTCAGAAACTTTCAAGATCTCTGCTCGGGCCGCCAGTAGCCCGTAATGCAGGTAGCTGTAGTCAAGATGCCGATTCATATAAAAAAACCAGAGGGTAAAACTAGTTTTGTGTGTATCATGTGAGAGAAAAACCAAAAGATCTAATATGTACAGAGATGTATACAATAAAAATGAGATACTCACTCTCTAATTGATGTGCAATTTGAATAAATATGAAATAAAATATCAGTGGCTCGTGACCAACCTGTGAACATAGAGATAATACGTTTGTCCCTTCAGATACATTTCCCTGACGTATTCGTCCTCTCCATCTAGAGGCTTTGGTGCAGTTGCAGCATCTTCCTTCGATATAGCATAGGCCATTTGGACAGACCCCCCACCAAGATCAACCACTCCGACGGTATTTGAGTACTTCTTCCCCAAATTCCTCAACAAATAGTTGATCGTCACCTGCAAAAATAACAGACATTAGGAACATATTTGGCTTGTTCCTTGGCTAGCGTTTCTATTAAGTGCAAACCAGATCTTAAGAGGCCCAAAACTTGAGAATAAGATCATTTTGACAGCAAGGACTTCAAGCGAATACTTGACTAGAGTTTCTGTTGTGTCCAAACCAGATCTTAAGAGGCACTAAACTTGAGACTTAGATCATTCGAGAGCCAGGCCTTGAAACGACCACAATGTCACAGTGAAATTGAGTTCTTGATGAAAGTCAACAGAAGGAAAATCTACCACAGGGTCAAAGGTCAGTCTCACTAAGGATGAATACAAAAACAAAAGCCTTTAAAACAACAAGATCAAATTGCAAGACACATACATATGCACACATGCATAAACAACTCAGCCATACTGCCAGAGCAGGAAAACATCACATAATTGCAAACGCTAACAACAGGCTAAAGACCCTCATTGCAAAAAAGAATAGTGAGCATACCCACTGATAAGAGCCTTCTTGAGTACCATCCAGAACAGTGACAGAATTAGCCTCACTTTTTAGGGTGCTCCTCTCTTTCAGGAGATCCCTAACCTTATAAACAAAATTAATATGGTGTTTAAGTGTTAGGCAAACAAACAGGTGCCTCTGCAAGGAAAATATATATAAGGGAACAAAGTTACCGCTTGCAGGATATTCTCAGATGCTTCATGACCCAAAGTCCTCAACCCTGCAGTTGCCTAGATAGGGGATAATAACAAAAATGTTGTAAATGATTCATGTACAATAAGGCAAACATAGGATATAGCTCCAATCTTCATCATGTTAAGGAATGAGAAGAAGTGGAAATTCATGCTCCTTTACCCCAACTCTAACAGGAGTCTTCCGACGCAACTCACGGGGAACAGTAGCTTCTGCTTTGTCAAGAAGAGACACCAAAGAATTTGCTGCTTGCTGGGGATCACTGGGATATGCACTCAAGCCCGGTTTTAGCTGAGACAAGATCAGATAAAATACACTTCAGAACTAAAACGCCAGCAAGAAACAAGGATCAGTGAAAGTGCAACAAAGAAGAGATCTAAGCTTCTGAAATATAACAGACCAGGAAACTAAAATGTACAAGTCTCATCAGTTCAAGCTCTCCTCCGCTTTTCCAGAAGCACGGAGTTTAAGCAAATTATGGATCTTGAAAGCTAAGATATGCATTTTCAAATCGCCACCATTGCAGATTGTTGCCAGTTCAAACGGTAGAGCAAGATCAAAGATGAAAAATTGCAGAAACAGAGCTTATTCTCCTCCCATTTTTTTTTCCTAAAGGATAACCATACAATAACCATTTCTTCCAGGATCATCCCGTCAGCAATTTCAATAAAAACCGAGTTTTGAAGCAACTATGGAGCCAAAACATTGCCCGGGGCATTTCGGCAAACAAAATCAGGTTCAACTTAAAATCTATACAAGACAAGTTCTATCAAAGGGCGAGAGAGAGCAAGTAAAACTTCTAGTGCCAAAACCCAGCTCGCCATTCTGGATGCAAGGGCAGTTGAGCATAAATTCCGATTTCATAGAATGACGAGAGTCACTAAAACGGGGTGTAGAAGAAATGCCTTACCTGAAGGAAGAGCTCGAGTTCAATGCCCATAGGAACAAGATCCAAATTCTGATCGAAGCAGAACACGTGCACGCGGCTTCCGGAACTCCCCGCATCGAAGATCACAGCGTAATTCCTGGGACCCCTCGAACTCGGCTCGAGCTTGCGGTTATTAACCTCGTACTCCTTAATGACCGTGTCGGAGGCCGATCTCCCAGGCATCAACAGAAGCACGAGAGAGATCAGAACAAGAGGAACCGAGACCAGCAGAAGAAGGCCACGATGACGCTGGATCTTGTCGGCGAGGGATTCGTGTCGTCGCTTGGCCGTCATCTTACCACCGTCGATGGAGAGGAGGCCCTGGTGAGGCTCGGAGGTAGGGGAAATGTTACCGGAGGAACCGGTAGCCAGACCGGACTCCAGGAGCTCGGCGGAGGAGGGAGAACGGTACCGGATCTGGCCGTTTCCGGTAGCGGAGGAAGACGGCGGC